TATATATATACCCCTTGTTCCAAAGCAACTTCTGAAACATAGCTTCTCAAGTTGACATTACCTATATTTATGAATTAGTTCAATGAGTTACTACTGAGTCTAGTTTTTGATGCCCTAACGATTCATCTAAGCTCCTGTAACAGGCTTAGGCAGAGAAAAGCCATGTTTCTGAGAGTTCTGTCAATGTATCTGTTAAGTGAGTCAATTCATGTTCTGTGTCCTTTTAGGAACAATTTCTTGAAATCATACTGCCTGAAAACCTGACCCATAAAAAAAGCACACATTCAATGTGACCTAAAGAAAAACCCATTCAAATTAGGGGTCTTTAGTGGTTATCTGGGCAGTGGAAGAGAGCGTCGTGAGATTATAGTGGGTGTTTCTAATCTTTTTTTAAAGTTCTCTATAGCTTTTTGTTTTGAGATGGTCTCACTGTGTAGTTCAGACTGGCCTTGAACTCCTCAGCCCAAACTGGCTTTGAACTCAGCTATCCTGCCTCAGCCTCTTGAGCACTGGGAATACAGGTGCATGCCACCATGCCTAAAATGCGTGTCTATCAGACAGGCCCTGGGAATATAAAATTGTACAAGACAAAATTGTCAAGTAATTACTTAGAGTAGTCCAGAAATTATAATGAGAATTATACCGTGCTCATGCATTACGTGGTATTTCTGGACCAATTTAGATTCAAAGGTCTTTAGCTGCTTACAAGATGTATTTATTTGGAAATGCCATAATGCCCTTTACATAAAAAGTGATCTCCACATAGCTCCACTATGTTTTTAGTTTTCTACCTCTAAGGCCATATAATAATCCTGAATTCTTTACCTTTATCAGTTGTAAGGGCTTGTGCAGCTCTCGTTCATAATCACACTATTATTCCAAGCCTTCACTCTCTGGATTGTTCTACTAGTCTAATTTGAGTCTGCTTCTCTGCCTCTGCTGTCTGCAAGAGCTTCCATTCGCTAGATTCAAAATAGAATCATTGCCCTTTTGCGTCCATACCCATGATTTTTAGTTAACTCTATTATGTCCGGAATCGAATAGGTTTTCCACAGTCTATCTGGCCCGCCCCTATGTTTCGTTCTAGATATATGGAAAACGCCATTGGGTGTATTAGCCAGTTTGGCCCCTCCCTGCTTGCCGAAATACCGCCATGCATGGGGGTCTTGCAGCGCCACGGTTAAAGCTGCCTCACTCCTAGGAGTCCCTGGTCCACTGCAGTCGCCCTGCACACACCTACAGCGCTTAATTCAGCCAACTGTGGGGATGTAGGTTATTACTGGGCTCCAGTGCATGGCTCACCGTCGTTTACTTTTACCTTCTCAACTAAGTGGTTTGCACTGAAAAGCCCTGGGGCTAGGGCTGCCTCCTCTCCCTCTTCCACAGCTAGATAATATATTGAATTAGTCTTTCCCTCTTCAGTGGCTGCTCCGGGAGCCTCGCTCACGTGAATAAATGTACTGGTCGAGGAGTTGACCCTCAGCGTCAGGTTGGCGCAGCCAGGGGACAGGGGAGGGAGACTGGACCAGAAGCTGTGATCCTACCGTGCTCCTGAATGT